CCCCTAATAATTTATAAATTATTCTTGTATCTTACCCAAATTTTACAGTTTTAGATACCCATGATTTAGAGAATGTATTTGCTTTTTCCTTAGGTTTGTTTTGGAACAGTACAATGCACTTTCCTGGCTAACCTGTGACCCTGCAGTCCAGGACAGACGCTCCTGTCTCCCAATTCACTTTGTGGTGCTGAATCAGTTATATAACTTTATCATGAATATGCTGTGATCATCATCTGATGGAACTGTGCAAGAAAAGAACAAGGATAAAGGCTATTTCACTGCAGGATTAAGTTGCAATTATTTTCTCAGTGAAAGTCATTTGTGATGGGGGCTAATTCTTATTACTTCAACAAATATTGTTTTGACTTGGGGAGGGGGTAGCTATAGCCCTGCTATTTTTCATTGATTATACCGAACACTTAAGGATGACAAGTGATCATACAAAACGTATTATAACATTTTCGTAGCAAAAATTAACCTTTTTTTCCAGTCACAGTATTTGTGAAAAGTAATGAGCCATAGTACCCAGTCATGTTAAATGAATATTAAAAGCATGGAAAGGAAACATGAGGAACAATGAATTTCAACTTATGGCTTCAGAACATCAAGATGTTCTTGTATTGGATTATAGTACCTAGTATTCAAAATGCCTGCATCTCTTATTTATTGTAAGTTTTTAAATGTAAAATTGTCTTATATTTCTTAACCTCTTTTATAAAAATTTTCCTAGAAGGTTTATACTGCCTTCTTGCTTTAAAGCAATTGGTCTAAAATATATGTAATCGTCTTAATTAAAAAGTTGCAGTAGGGTTGCTTTTAGAGTATTATTTTTTTGTAAGGGGTGGGTGGGACAGTAAATTTGTATTGTCTCAATGTACAGTTTAATGGGGCTAGAGAGGGAATAATGTCCATGCCATTGTGTGTGGAGGATTTACAGCTAAGCTGTAGTTGCAGAGTACATGTACAGGAATGAAGCTCACTGTGTTTATAAATGGAAAAGGTACCGGGTCTGACAACATTTTATATATCACATCTCTACAGAATCACATGATGGCAATATACAAGTGATATTGTTAGGTGGTTTAACTTAGAATAAAATGAGAATTCTTCAGTTATATTTTGTACTATGATTTAGGGCTATGACTAATATTTCAGGCCATTTCCAGTGAAAGAAACTTAGTTTTACAAGAAAAACATTTGCTACTGAATGCTTAAACTAATTTTGGTGTTTAATGTTACATGCTTAAATGTTTTTCAGTTTCAACAGTGGCACATCTAGGCATGGGTATATTATTAAGAAATTTATCTCTGGATCTACTATAAGGTTGAAATTTAGCCCAGCTCTAGGCATTTTACAAATTATTTTAAGAGAGGTCACTCTTGATTGTTTGACTTTTTTTTTTTTTAATTAAAGATTGGGAATGTGTGTGAGTGCGTGCGAATGTGTGTGTGTGAGAGTGTGTGCAATCAAACTGTGGTGTAAATATATTCTCGGTGAATTCTGGTATTCAAACTCTATTCCACTAGTGAAAGAACCATTTTCTAAACAACCTGTTCCCCTTTGTCTTTTTTATTTATTTAATTTTCTTGGTTTGGAGATGGTAGTCCCAAACACCAGAGTCTGTACTTTTCTATCACACAGCTCAGATTAAGGTAGGCATATGCCAAGGAGGTCCTCACCTCCCTAAAGAAGGGACTTTAATTTTAGGGACTTTAATTCACCTCTTCCTTCAATACAACTTTTCCCCTTCTTCTTTGCACATGCCAAGATAACTGCTTTTATGCAGGCTTTACCCCTTGAAAAATCCATCCTACAGTGCTGCTCACAAGAGAGCCCAAGTTAGCCTCCTAACTGTGTTGCTGACTTGAATTCACAGTCACCAAGTCTACCTATCTTTCTTGGAAGCAGTCCAACAAAATTCCTATTTGTACATTCACTAACTCTCTACAAGGACAAAAAATGGTATTTACAAAACTCTTTAATTTTTTTTCTTACTGAAACTTGTTTTGTGAATACTATATGCGTAGCTTAAATATCACTTTCTTATGAATAATATAACTTCAAATTGTATATATAAAAAAAAGCGAGTCTTGTTTTTTTCTATGAAAACAATTGGTGGCAAAGGTTTCCAATTATTCTTTAATAATGCAATCCCAAGGGTCAGCATATTTTGATATAAAATTAAAGATCACATCTCTTCTTTTGTTTTTAAAATATACGAACACACCACAGATTATGTTGGCATGTTTTGTTCATTTTTAACAAACAAAATACTTGTCTGAGATTTGAGGGAAAAGATGCTTTTTTCAACTTTCTAAAAGGGTATTCATTTTTATAAACTTAGCTCAATGGTGACTTTAAAAGTATATTCTTGGTTATTTAAAATTGTTAGTCTATACTAACTACATTTCAGTTTGAAAAATAGGTTTTAAAAAATTATTCTCTGACAGTATCTTTTATATAGAGCCATAAGAAGGGAACCCAGTGTATAATTCCTTTTTATCTGGGAATCAGGGAATATTTCCCAAATATACAGGATTACTAATAAGATTTTTTTCCTCCCTTCATATATAAGTTCATAACTCAAATTGAAAATTATTGCAATAGCCATTAGAAAAGGTCAGGAGACTTCAGAAAAAAACAAAAAAAACTACACCTTTTTTATAGGATGATGGATCTGATTTACCAATGTACTGTCGCAGATGAGTCGTTTTGTTTAAGTAGGCATCAAAATATATTGTTCTGCAGCAGATCACCAACACCTTGACTTCTTTGTTACAGTGCTAGTGTCTATTTCCTGTGCAGTTTTCCATTAAGCTGGGTGGAAGTTCAGTATTTTGACATTTGGAATGATTAGTTATATAATGTCTGCTTCCAGCCAGTCAGAAACATCTAGCCATACCTTTCTTATGCAAGCCATTCAGTTATCAGGACTGTGAATTAACACTGTATGAATAAATTTCTGTACACCTTATTGTTTGGCCAGAAGGCCACCAAGTGTACTTATATGTAATCCTTAAATTTTAAAGTAGCTGTAATTTTTAAATCTTTCTTAACTTTTCTTAAACCACTAAAATTAAGCTCTTACTCCTTAGTCAACATCCTCAGCTGTATTCGTGCTCAACTGTCAGTATGGCACAGGTGACTGTATTAAAATATGCTCCTTTCCTCTTCATATTTACCTTCTGAGGTAATTTTTTAACTTAATGTGTTACTACAAAGATTTGCAGATCTTTAATCAAGCACTATGTTAATACTGTAATATCAAAATACTATGTTGCATTATTTAAAATGTTCAAATTGAATAGATTAAAAGGAAGTTTTTAAATGCTGTTGCATCATATAATTTGCTACTCCTCCACTGTGGCATCGCATATTAGTCTATTAATACATTTAATGTTGCACGAGTGATGTTTTGGTCTGGGTTTCCTCTTAAGATTTAGTTTGTCTAAATTAGGAAAATATTTTTGACATACTTTTAATTTTGCTCCCATCCCCCAATAATCAGCTGGAAATCTTAACCCTTTGGGTTTTTTTGGTGTTTTAATGGGCCCAGAACTGTGGTTTAAATTTTTATATATGTATTTTCATTTTTATGGAGTATTAATTAAAAAACTGGATTTGGGACCTAAAATACTCCTCAGGTTGATGTGTTCATGAAATCTTAAAACCGTTTTAGTTCTCAAAGTAAACTGGATTTGTGGACCTTAAAGTTACTGAGTTTAAACTACAAATTGTAATATCATTACTGGACACATCAGCATCAACCCTCTCAGAATAGCTTGGTCACTTTATGAAGGGGCATTTTAAAGTTGTTTAGCAGTGACATTTAATATGGTCCAATTGCTTTTTTTTTAATTAACATGACATAAAAGAATAAGGAACAAACACTATTGCTGCCGAATGCCATAACACTGAGTTGTACAAATTGTGATTGAGGAAATGAAAAGGTTTATACTTTTTAAAAAAAAAAAATAAGAAAAAAAAACAAAAAGCAAAACTTCAAATGGAATAAATTATTCATGAAGCCTTCATTGTGGTGTCTTATTCTGTTGAAAATATTTCCATGGTATATATTGCAAAATTAGTAGCCTTATCATTTTTGTGTTATTCATAATAAGAAAAAAAAGCAACCCAGAAACTGACTAAACAGCTTTTAACTTGTCTACACAAAGTATTTGGAAAAAACTATTCATATATCAGCATGTAGGGTAATTATATATGCGTATATAGCTTTATATATACCTATATATACATATATGTATAGGTGTATATAGATATACAAATCCCATTTAAGATGATGAATTTGATATCCGTTTCCTAACACTATGTTCATATATTTAGAACTTAACTATGTCCTTTTTTAATTTCATTGCATAGAGTTTTAAGTATAAAGAAGTGTTCAGATGTAAGCAATCTATCCCACAAAGCTCTATTTTCTGGAAGCAGCCATTTAAAATATTTCTGTCCAGATTTAAAATCAATAAGGATATAACTGAAAATGTGTGGTCATTTTCAAATAGTTGCTGTCAACAAAATTTTTATATAACAATTCTTTAAAAAGGAGATAAATGTTGTTGAAACTGCCTATCGTAAAATATTTTCTGTATTGCAGTTTACATGATCTCTGATTTGTTTTTACTATAGTATTATGTATGACTAAAAACTATGCAATTCAAGCTTTTTTTGGTATTCACTTCTTGCACGGCTACACACAGATTTTTATATTTGTAGTTTTCAGTATTGAAAACCTGGGTCTGAATAATCCTATTGAATGCTTTACTGAAAGAAATGAACTTTTCTATAAAAGCATATCAGATGCTTGTTTGTACTATGCATAAGGTATTGGTACACTTCCAGAATTTGAGCCACTTAGAGATCGATGTATTTGCTACCTTAAGCAAATAACAGTTTTTACATTGTGGCCCAGCACACTCCATCGTGGTGAATCCCAAGACCTGAAATTGAAAGCTTAAATTTTTTACTGGTGAGTCCATTCCCTGAAAATCTTTTCTTGCAAAATTTCCTGCCAGAGTTGTACTTGTGAAGTCCTTTAAAGTAAAGAACTATATCATAAGAGGTAAAAGCATGTGAAATATGAACATTTTGAAATGTTCTAGAAGGAATTAATAAATTGCACATGAAAATTATCTTGACCTCTGGGTCTCAGTAGCATATTATTTATGACTATAAATGTATGTATTTGTTAATTAAATTGAAGTGACTTGAAACAATCACAACTATTACTCTAGATAAACTTTTTTATCACTTTAGAAAAAAATGCTGCATACTTGAGTTTTTGTCTTGTTTTTCTGTTTAGTCATTTTATAATCAATATGTCTTATAGGAATTGTTACAAAAATATTTTGGAAATATGGTCATAGATAATCTAGTGGCAAACAATCCATTTCAGGATCAGGATAAAATTAGAAATGCAGTGTGAACCGTATTCAAACTATTTGATGTAAATGACCTTTGAAAAATAGATTCTACGGAACCATGGACATTAGATTGGAACCATCTATTTTTCAGCATGTTAAATGAAAATATCCAGGATTTGTTTCACAAGGCATTAAAGGAAATTTTACTGTTAAGTAGTTATAAGTCAATGTTTTTTTAACCCAAGGGAGTATAATTTAAGAGTATAGCAATCCAAGGGCACAAAGTTTTTTGTTTTTTTAAATCATTATTGGGGGTTCGTACAACTCTTATCACAATCCAAGCCGACATCCATCGTGTCAAGCATATTTGTACATTTGTTGCCCTCATCATTCTCAAAACATTTGCTTTCTCCTTGAGTCCTTGGTATCAGCTCATTTTTTCCCCTCCCTCTCCGCTCCGCCCCCATGAACCCTTGATAATTTATAAATTATTATTTTGTCATACACTGTCTGACGTCTCCCAACATAATCAAAAGCAAAGGAGAAAGGAAGAGAGTTTGTGTTTTTAGCCTATAATAAAATATGAGTTTAATTTTGTGTTCCTACAGTTTCAGTTTTGTAGGAATTTTCTATTTTTCATGACCTTCCTATGAATACTGTAGGAGAGTTATAAAACAGATTAAAAATTATCACATTCCTCGGTCCTGTAGCACTAACAAGAAATTTTGTTTGTGATTAATAGAAAATGATAACGTTTCAAGAGACTTCCCTGGAGCCCCTCCCAAAGTGTACAGTTCTCAGTTGTGAAAATGCTTATTTTTAATAGAGGGCCCAACCTAGTGAAGTGGGGTCAGGGGAGACTTGGGTAGGTGGTTTGTCAGGGAAACTTCCTAGCAAGAGAATACTGAAGGTATACAGTACAATTTAATAATACATAACCACAGGGTAAAGAGAATGAGGGCATTCCAAACGGAAGGGTTTGAAGAATATATGAATAGCATGAAGGATTTGGGAAGCAAATGGTCAATTTGAATACAATGAGATGAGATGTGGCAGAAATCCTGGCTAGAGAGAAACAACTCAATGCCATTGAGTCGATGCCAACTCATAATGACCCTATAGAACAGGATAGACCTACTCTTCGTTTCAAGGCCTGTAACATGGGAGGAGGAAACTTCAGGGCAGCTAGTTCATGTAAGATTCTTGAGTACCATCTCAAAGAATTTAAACTATTTAGAACCAGGGAAATACCCAGAGGATGACTCATGGAGCTCTGCCAACTTAGAGGATCTAATGATCCACTAGAGAACCATGACTGGGAAAGGTTTTACTCAATATTTTATCCAGACATACAGGTATCCAGTATAAGTCAAAAAGACTGGCACCAAGGAGTAGTATTTTCAAGGTAATATAGCTATAAAAACTTCCAAAATCAAACTCGCTGCCATTCAGTGAATGTCAACTTAACAGTCGCAGCCTTGTGGGTTTCCCGAAAATGTTTACAAGGAGCAGAATGCCACACCTTTATTGCAACGCGGCTGGTGTTTTTGAACTGCTGACCATGTAGATCACAACCCAACTCAACCACTACGCCAGTAGGGCACCCTAATACACCACCATGTTATCAGTGTGTGCTACTGTGGTAGCTGGTGTGTTGCTGTGATCCTAGAAGCTATGTAACAGCAGGGGCACCCATAATGAATAGATTTCAGCAGAGCTTACAGATTAAAGGAAGAGACTGTTCTCTTGGATTAGCCACTGAGAACCTTATGAATAGCAGTAAAACATTGTCAGACGTAGTGCTAGAAAATGAGCCCCTAGTTTTGGAACAGAATATGACTGGAGAAGAGCTATCTCCTCAAAGTGGGGCCGACCTTAATAATAAAAAGACGGGCTAAGGCTTTGGGGACTTTCACTTGCTGAAGGGGCCTGACTCAATGAAAAGAAACAGCTGCAAGCATCCATTAATATTCAGAACATGGATTGCATGAACGATGGGTCTAGGAAATCAGTCGTAAAAAGTGAAATGAACAGATCAATATCCTAGTCATTAGTGTTCTAAAATGGAATGGTATTACCCACTTTAAGTCCAGTAATCATGGATTACTGTGCCAGGAATACCATTTTCAGCTACATAAATGGCAATATAAACATGGGCCTTGCCAGCTGGAATACACAGGAAACAACCAAACTTGTGGGAAGGGGTAATCAAGAAACGCAGTATCATCCAGAGCAAGGCCAGGGGCTGATTGTGGAGCAGACCATCTTGATTGCTCTTAGGTTGAAGTTGACAAAAAAGTCCATGAGAGGCAAAATACAAGCTTCACTATCCAGCTAGATTTAGAAAGTATCACAAGAACAGGTTTGACTCATTGAACACTGAATAATGGAAAACCTGATAAGATAGGGAATGACATCAAGAACATACATGAAAGAAAGCAAAAGGATATTAAAAAAACAACTCATTGCCATTGAGTTGATTCCAACTCAATGACCTTGAAGGGCCTCTGTGTTTTGAGACTAAATCTTTACAGGATTAGAAAGCCTCATATTTCTTACAGCTGTTTGTGGTTCTCAACTGCTGACCTTAAAAGTTTAGCAGCCCAGTGTGTAACCCACTATGCTACTAAAAACCAAACTCGCTGCCATTGAGTCAATGCCGAGCGACCCTATAGAACTGGGTAGAACTGCCCCTGAGAGTTTCCACGACTTACTTTACAGGAGTAGAAAACCCCATCTTTCTCTTGCGGTGCAGCAAGATCCTCTTTAAAGAGACAAGAAAAGATCGAATTGGATGTCCGAATAAAAAATAAAACTTGTTCTTGAACATTAATTAAAGCTAATGGAGAAATGAGCAAATAAAGCTCATTTCGAGAAGGCAGTGAAACATGAAATGTGCAAAGACGAGTTAGAAAGCCAAATAGGAAGAGGACACAGCATATCTCAAGCTGAAAGAACTGAAGGAAAAAATATAAGCCCTTTGGAGAGCAAATGTTTTGAGAATGAGGGCAGTGAATGTACAAATGTGCTTTACACAATCGTATGTATGTATGGATTGTGATGAGAGTTGTATGAGCCCCTAATAAAATGATTTTTTTTAAAGACTATAAAAAGTATATAAGCCCCACATTGCAATATTGAAGGACTCTATGGGCAAAATATTGAATGAGACAGGAAGTATCAAAACAATTGAAGGGATACACAGTCACTGTCTTTAAAATAATTGGTTGACATGCAACATTTCAAAAGGCATCTGAAAAAAAGGCATCTGATCAAGAACCAAGCTCTACGGAAAGTATTAATGAAAAACAAGGCTCCAGGAATTGATAGAAAACCAACTAAAATGTTCCAACGAACTGATGCAGCACTGGAAGCACTGCTGTGTGCCAACAAATCTAGAAGATCATTTTCTGGCCAACCAACTGGAAAAGATACTGTGGCCATTCCAAGGAAAGGTGACCCAATAGACTGGAAATTAGTGAACCTTATCAATAATGAATGTAAAATGTTGGAGATAATCCAAAATGTTTGCAAAAGTATTTCAAGAGGGGGCTACTAGAAATTCCAGCTGGATTCAGACAAAGGTGTGACAGGAAAGATATCATCGCTGACATCAGATGGATCTTGGCTGAAAACAGAGAATACCAGAAAGAGATTTAGTTGTGAAGGTATTCAACTGTGAAGGTATTGAACTGCATGGATCATGAATTATGGTTAACATTCAGAAGAATGGAAATTCCAGAACACTCATGCTCATAGGGAACCTGTACATAGACCAAGAAACAATCATTTGAATGGAACAAGGGAATGCTACAGGGCATGGATCATGAATTATGGTTAACATTCAGAAGAATGGAAATTCCAGAACACTCATGCTCATAGGGAACCTGTACATAGACCAAGAAACAATCATTTGAATGGAACAAGGGAATGCTACAGGGCATAAAATCAAGAATGGTGTGCATCAGGGTTGTATCCATTCACCATACTTAATCTATAAGCTGAGCAAACAATCTGAGAAGATGGGCTATATGGAGAACCAGCACAGGATCAGATTTTGGAGGAAGGTTTATTAAACTGCCGCTGCTGACGACACCGTCTTGCTAGGTAAAAGCAAAGAGAACCTGAAACACTTGCTGATGAAAATAAAAACTACAGTGTCAATTGCAACTCAATGTAAAGAAATCAGAGTCCTAACAACTGGACCAATAGACCACATCATGATAAATGGAGAAAAGTTGTGGAAGAATTTAACTACTTGGATCCACGATCAACACTCATGGAAGTACCAGACAAGAAATCGAATGGTGTAGTTCATTGGGCAAACGTGCTGCAAAAAATTTTAAAAGTGTTAAAGGGCTTCAAAATATTCATGTTTAGGACTAAGATTGGCCTGATCAAATCCATGGTATTTTCAATTGCTCCTTACGTATGTGAAAGTTGAACGAGAAAGGAAGACCACAGAAGAATTGATGCATTCGAATTATGGTGTTGATGAATATTAAAGTACCATGAATTGCCAGAACAAACTGATCTGTCTTGAAATACAGCTAGAATGCTCTCAGAAGCAAGAATGTTGAAACTTCATCTCACATACTTCGGACATGGTATCCGGAGAGACCAGTCCCTAGAAAAGAACATCGTGCTTGGTAAAGTATAACGTCATATAGATCCTTGTAATCTGTTCCCCCTTTTCCCCTCACCTTCCCTCCACCATCCCAGTATCGCCACTCTCACCACTGGTCCTGAGGGGTTCATCTGTCCTGGATTCCCTGTATTTCCAGTCCCTATCTGTACCAGTGTACATCCTACGGTCCAGCCAGATTTGTAAGGTAGAATTGGGATCATGATAGTGGGAGGGAGGAAGCATTCAAGAACTAGGGGAAAGTTGTATGTTTCATCGTTACTACACTGCACCCTGACTGGCTCATCTCCCCATAACCCTTCTGCAAGGGGTTGTCCAATTGCCCACAGATGGGCCCTGGGTCCCCACTCTGCTGTGATTTTTTTTTGGTCTTTGATACCTGATCCCATCGACACCTCGTGATCACACAGGCTGGTGTGCTTCTTCCATGTGGGCTTTGTTGCTTGTGAGCTAGGACCCCAGACTCTCTCTCTTTTGATAGCCAGGCACCATCAGCTTTCTTCACCACATTTACTTATGCAACCGCTTTGTTTTCAGTGATTGTGTTGGAATAGGCTGGTGTGCTTCT